CCCTGGCTGGTTTTGAAGGTAAGGGGCCAAATGAGCCAGTGAGTCCAGACAGCTTCCAGAAACGGGTAGAACAAGGAAGCATGTTCCTCGTGAGCTCCACAAACAAGCCAGCCCTGAAGACACCAGATTGACTTTGAACTTGTGATCCTTCTGACTTAATGTTGGGGTGTGACTTTAAAGAAGCCTTTGCTGGAGTTTATACCTCCTGTTAGTAAAGCTTTGATTGACTTCTAGACCATTTATTATTTACAGATAGGAATAGTAACTTGTATAATTCTAGCACTTGAAAGGTACAGGCAGGGGGAGTTCAAGTTCAGCCATGGATACGTATCAAGTTCAATGCCAGCCTGAGCTACATGAGACCCTGTCCCCTCCCACTCCCTTCCTCCTTGCCCAAAAGAAAAGCCACTGTAACTTGCCCAAAGAGACATAGTTGAGAGGTGGTCTTCATGTCTGTAGTCATGTTCTTTCTATCACATCACAGCTTTGTTGCTAACCACAAAACTTACCTCCTGCTGCCATAACTAAGTCTGATAAACTTGGTGGTTAACTGATATGTTTTCTTTCTTTTTAAATGTTTTATTTTATACAGGGCCTCTCTGTAGCTCTGGCTGTCCTGGAATTTGGTATATAGATCAGGCAGGCCTTGAACTCACAGAGATCCACCTGTATCAGTCTCCCGGGTGTTGGGTTAAAGGCCTGTGCCACCAACACCCAGCTTGAATTTAGTCTTAGGGAAGGGACGATGGCTTGGTATGTCTCTGTTCTTTACCAGAAATCCTACAGCTAAACAATACTCTTGTGAGGTTTAGATGGTTATCTATTAATGGCCTTCCAGGCAGTACACAGTGTCACGTCTCCACCAGGATCAGCATTACGACAAAGATGCCCCCCTCTTCTGACCAGTCATCAAAAAGTCCTGACTTCCAAGCCCGATTCTGCAAGCTGCTGACTAGGAAGGGTGGGTCCAACCTCAATGACCTTTGGTTGTTGTATTTGGAAGGCTAGAGAGGTGGCTCAGTGGTTAAAAGCACTGGTTACTCTTGCAGGGGACCCAGATTCAATTCCCAGCATCACAGGGTAGCTCGCAACCATCTGTAATTCTAGTTCCAGTGTCCTCTTCTCAGGTGCCAGGCGTGCACCTGGTGCACATACATGCAGGCAAACACTTATTCACATAAAATAAAATGACTCTGCAAGTTTTCTTTAAAAGGTAATTAAAAAAATTTTGTGTGTGTGTGTGTGTGTGTGCGCGCGCCCAAGGAAGCCACAGAACATTGGACAACCCTGGGGATTTCCTGCTGGAGTTACATGCAGTTCTGAGATGTCAGATGTGGGAACTGGACTCGGGTCAGCAAGTATACCACACAGTGCTCTGATGAAAGTGACGTTAAGGTGTCCCTAGGACTTCCTTGTTCTACTGGTTTCTGGAAGCTGCCTGGACTCCCTGGCTGTTGGATCCCTTCCCTTCAAAACCAGCAAGGGGTGAGCTTTTGCATCTCATCTCTTTGAGCCTTCTTCCTTCTGGGATGCTTTTCTTCCCCTAGCTGGGAAAAGATCTTCCTCTGAGGTCCCCTGAAATCAACCTGGGACTGCCAGAATAGAAAGGGTGATCGCCCATCTAAAGGGTCTTCACATAAGGGCATCTACATCTTGCCAGGTGAAGTCACATACACATAGGCAGCTGGGGTTAGTGTATGAACTGTTGGGGTGTCCTTAGTCTGTCACTATCAGTAGGTTAGGGTTCCACCAAGACCAGTGGTTGTAGTGGTGATGAAGATAGAGTTTAGCTCAGTTTCCTGATGTCTGCGGGATTTGCATGACCGAAATGACACAGATGAACCCCTTTCACATAGCATATTCACAGTTGGGCCCCCTGCCTTAGTGAGACAATCCGTTCTCTGTAGTAAGCAGAGTGGGGGGCAGGTCAGGGCAAGGCAAGGCTGTGGTGTTTGTCCTCTTGATGTCAAATCTCAGACTGTGGACTTGAAATGCACAACTCTGACCTCGAAGTTCTTAAACCCTCAGTGTTGTTGACATGGGACTGTGGGGAAAACCGAGTTCCAGACTTGTGGGTGTTCAGCTTTGAAAGGTAACATGAACGCCAATATTGCAAAGACTTTCATACACACCCAGGAAGGGCAAGGATTGACCCTTCCTCATTCTGTTTCCCATCTGTAAAATGTAAGATCACTTAGAAGTCAATCAAGGGATAGCAGTGCTCCCGGACATCCCCAGGATCTGTCACATTGTATCCTCCAGGGGAGCTTTGACATAGACACTACAAGCTGGCCTAAGACTGAAGGGACTGCAGGATGTCATGAAGAGATAGTTCACCATCACCAAGATGGGGAAAAGGAGAGAAATCCAGACCACTCCTGATGAAGACCTCTGGGCCATTCAAGCCCAGATCCATCTCAGTGCCACTTTCTTGTTTCTTGGAGACAGCATGAGGGTCCCTGATGCTGTTTCCAGTGCACATTAGAAGCTAGGCTTGGGCATCTAACCTGACATCCAGGTCATGTTCACCTGTGTACTGGGGTTTTGGAAATGGAGACATTGTCTATGGTCCAGGGAATTCCTGCCAGTGTCCTTATAGTCACTCACTCTGACCACACCCACAGCTTTTGTGCCACAGATGCAGTGGCCCTAACTGTCCCCACCCATCCCTGACACCAGCTGCTCTGTGCCCTCCCACTCACTCTCACATGCCCCAAGGTCCCCAGGGAGTCACCAGTCCACTGCTAGTATCTGGGGGAGGCCCTGAGCCTGGAGGAAGGCTGGGCTGTTGGAAACTTTAGTCTAGCAGGGACCGTTAACAGCTGCTGCAGAGAACCCTTAAAACACAAACGAACCTCAAAAAGGAAATACTTGTAAAACGTGTTGGCTTGACCTGTGATGAATTTTCTGAAAGGGTTCGTCATTCCCTGCTGTGGCAAAAAAAAAAAAAAAAAAAAAAGGCATCTCTCTGACAAAGACACTCACCTCCCACAACACCCCTAACAGGCCACAAAGTATAGGAGCTGTGCACATGCAAGCGCACACAGATGCTTCCTGCACCTGCCTCTTTTCAGACACTTTCCTCGGGTGACAGTGTGCTTGCTCTTCTGCCCCATGGGTCACTTTCTCTGGGGCAGGCAGGCTCTCCTGTGCTACTTTGAGAAAGCTCTCCCACCATCGCCTAGCCCTGCTATATACCACCAGTCACAAGAGTTGGTTGCATGTAGTGAGGAACTTTACCTCTCTTTCTTCCTCCCCACAGCTGCAGGACAGCTGGTGTGTGTGTGTGTGTGTGGGTGGGTGGTGGTGGTGGTGGGCGGATGTGGTTCAAAGGGGGTGGGTTTTTCTCACCTCCGTGCCTCATCCGGCTCCAGCTCATTCCAACCCCCAGCCATGAAGGCCTTTTGTGATTCCTTTAAGAGGCAACAATGTGGTAAAAGAATATTATATAGTCCCTCTGGGTACTGCGGCTCTAAGCCTCACCTTCCTGCCACTGTCAACTGGGCCCTCTTCACCTCTTCACCCACAACAACTTAGTAGGTTTGGTAGTCTCCTCTGCAAATGCCTCTTCTCTCCGTGTGACTGATTCTTTGTGTGTCTCTCTCTGTGTGTCTCTGTATCTCTCTGTCTCCCTGTCTCTGTCTCTGTCTCTCTGTCTCTGTCTCTCTCTCTCTGAGACAGGGTCTCATTACATAACCCTGGCCAGCCTGGAACTCATGGTGTAGACCAGGCTGGCCTCTGACTCACAGGAATATACCTGGACCTGCCTCTGCCTCCTGATTTCTGAGTTTAAAGGTGTGTGCCACTACACTTGGCCAAGTGTCCTTTTTCTCTGGGGATGAGTATGGTGGACAATGTTTGGACTATATGCATGTCTACATGTTCTGGGAAGTAAGCCCAGATCATTATACTCCTAGTGTACCATAGAGCTACACCTCCAGCCCCTAGGACCGCTAAAAGAAAAAATTAACTATAACAATGGGACATTTCTTTGCCTCGCCGCTTCCTAGGAAGCCACAGCCACCACTTTCTTCTTTTTTAAGTTTTATTTTATATTATTTTTATATGTATGAGTGTTTTGCCTGAATGTATGTTTGTACCAGGCTGATGACTGAGGTGGTCAAAGAGAGTGTCAGATCTCCTAGAACTGGAATTACAGATGGTTGTGAACAGCCATGTGGGTGCTTCGAATCGAACCAGTACTCTTAACCACTGAGCTTTCTCTCCAGCCCACCACTTCCCTACTTGAATCCCACACTCAGTTTCCTTTCCTCCCTCCCTAGGAGGTATGTAAGAACTATTGTTACTCCAGGCTAGCCCTTCAGCACAGCCCAGAGCTGCTCCTGAGCCCCTGCTGAGTGGACATTGATCCCTGATACTGCTCTGGTGTGGGAACACAGGGGATGCCAGAGGAGAGGATGTGTGAGAGAAGGAGACAGACCTGGTCACAGGTGTGTTCAGGTAGACAGCAGGAAAAAGCTGTACAATGGGGAGTCTGGGGTGCTCACAGAGGAAAACCAGCTTCTTCCTGCCTCCCTTGCATCCTCACATTCCCAAGAATGGTTTCTGGGTGACAGTTCAGCAAGCAGGAGGGGAGTCAGAAGCGCTCCATGCTAAATGGGGGACATGAACCTTATCTAAGCTACCAAATTAAGGAACCCTCCTGGTAAGCCATGGCCCTACTGGGCACCCTAGAATGAGGAGAAGCTAAGGCTCCATAATAGGAACCCCAAATCTAATGGTTGAGGATGAAGCTGCAACCTGGAGCAGTGATTGGTGCGTGCCCTGGGTCAGTTAAGAGAAGAGTCCCAAGTGTACACTGATCTCAGTGAATGGCAGCCCAGAGGGAGTGGACAACCGGAGAACACACCAGACTGGTGCGTGGATCTTAAGTACTGTGGAGGACAGAGTGGGTCTAGGATAGGTGGGGAAGGGCACTGGCTGGACACAGGTCCAGGCTAGCGTCAGTGTCTGTACTTTGGACCTTGGTAGCCCTCCTTGGTCTTCTGGCTTCAACCCAGGGACCTCTTCTGCTTCATTGAGTCCATCTGCCAGCCGCCTTCCTCTTTTGTGACTTGGGGTCACAGCACAAAGCACGGAGCATCACAGTCAGAGAGAACTCAATGTCTAAGAGAGGAGAGTGGCCCGTGGATTAGCTGGAAGACCTTGAGGCAGAGGTGCCCAAGGCCATGGCTGATGCCATCACCTATGCAGACCTGCGCTTTGTGAAAGTGCCCTTGAAGAACAGCATCTCTAACCACTTAGGACAGGGTAAGTCCTGCTTGCTGCCCCCCTTCATATTCCACCCTCATTCCACAGTCCCCATTGCAGACTCCTCCTACTTCGGACCTTCCTCTTCCAGACTGTGAGGCCTATGAGGATGGAGAACTCACCTATGAGAATGTGCAAGTGTCTCCGGTCCCAGGAGGACCATCAGGCTTGTCTTCCCCTGCACGAGTGGACAAAGCAGGTATGGAGGCCCCGGGAAGGGTGTGTTTATCTACGAAGGCTGTGTTTATCTGGCGAGTGTAGAGCAGTCTTGGAGAAAGCAGCAGGGCTGTACTTGAGAACAAGCTAAGAGTCAGGGGCAAGTTGAACGTCCTCGCGGTAAGCTGGGGGGAGGATCAGGGCAGCCGGGTGCGAGATGGGTGGGGAACAAGAGTGGGAAGAGATGTTGAAGGATGAGAAGTCACAGACAAGGGACCCCAAGGAAATGATACAGAGGTGATAAAGGGAGACCCAGGAGAGAGAGGAGGGATATGAGGTGTGGACAGGGCGACCCAAGAAGGGCTTCCGGAGAGAGGACTTCACTGCGTGGCATTTCTGGGGGCAAGCAGGAGGTGAGCAGGGACCACTCCCCCAAGCCCCGAAGGCCAAGGGACATGAGTCCTGGGGCAGCAGAGGAAGTCCCGAGAGTGACTGTCCCATAGCACTTAGTCCACGACAAAGGTCTCAGCATGGTGTGGGGCCGGGGGAAGGGAATTACGGGGACTTTCCACCCTCATTGGGACGTTCCCCTTCGGCAGGCGTCAGGTCAGAGCAGCCAACTGCGTCATGGAGCTCCGTGAAGTCGCCGGCTGGAGGGCGGATTCCCCGTTGTGTGTATCTCCCCCTCCCACCCCCGCAGCTCCAGCCTGCGTTCACCCGCAGCCCACCTGCGGGCAGCGGGCAGGGATGCCAGATGCCGCATGCGTGTGTGTCCTGGAGGGGTGGGGCTGGGTTCTGCCCTCCGCTGCTCTTTCTGGGACTTGAACGACAGCCCAGCCACTCCACCTCATCACCGGAGCGATTGTTCGATTGTTCGCACCTGCAGTCAATCCAGACCATTATTCCCCTGTTCCGATGGTCCCTAGTCACATGCCTCCAGGTCCCTTTCCCTGTATGAAGTTTAGTTCCTTCCGCCGGGTAATGCCCCCTTCAATCCGTTTCACCAGTTACAATCCCCAGCCCCTATTTCCTGACTGACAGAGCCCGCTTAGGAGCGATTTCCATTCTCTATGTGTCCCCACGTGGACACCCTTCCCCGGGACTAACTGTCCCTCATCTCTGTCCCCTAAGGTCCCACAGTCGGCTTGCAATACTTCTTGCTGGGCCTTCTCCTGGCCTGTCTGATGTTAGGGGTGGCTGCCATCTGCCTGGGAGTTCGCTGTGAGTATGGGTATCCCCATGCCCCTCTCCTTCTAAACATCTCCCCTTCTCTCTCCGCCCAACTCGCCTTTCATCAGGAAGGCTCAAAGACACTGTCCTGACACCCTTGGCTTTTGGGTCTGTCCTAGAATGCCCTGCCTTCCTAGGTTATCCTTACCCACTTCAGGAGTTCCTCAAACTGGGCAGACAGATCTTAAATTCAGCACATTATACAGGAAGTTACATAAGCAGAAAGGTTGATAATGCAATCTTAGAGCACCAGCAGGAGGAAGCGCTCTCAAGTCCCCCATCTGTGTCTTGCCCCCGCCCCCCCCCCCCCCCCCCAGTTCTCCATTTGTATCCCAGGCTGGCCTGGGCACCTATCTCAGCCTTCCCTAGACAGGGATACAGGTGGGTGTTGCTACACCCAACCAGTGTCTTCCATGGCCAAACAGATCTGCAGGTGTCTCAGCAATTCCGGCAGGTAACCAGGATTTTGGAAGCCACCAACAGCACCTTGTGGCAGCAGCTCAGGCAGAAGACAGCTCAGCTGGGGCAGAAGGAGGTGGATCTGCAGGAGTCCCAGACAAAGCTGACCCTGAGTCAGAGCACTTTACAGGAGAAGCAGAAAATCCATGAAGCCACTGAGCAGCAACTACAAGCCTGTCAGTCTGAGGGACAGAGGACCAAGGAGAATTTGGAAAGGGAGGAGCAGAGGAGGAGGGACTTGAACCAGAGGCTGATCAAAGTTCAGGACACACTGAGGAGCCGCCTCTCTTGTTCTTCAGGTATCTTCTGGGAGGTTTCAGGGAGGTGGGGCAGACCGCCTGTGAGGGATGGACTGAATCCAGGAGTGTCTAGTGACTGGGTCTGCCTAGTTCTCAGCAGCCAGTGAGTTATTCAGTAAAGGGGCAGTGAGCCAGAGCAGTGGCTGACCTGGGTGGGCTATGCAACTTGGTTACTGAGAAGAACACTGGGTTTAGGGGGATGCACCCAGCTATATGGCAGATCATGGGGGCAGAGGCACAAAGAAATCTCCAGCAACCTACATCACATTGTCCAAATCTCTTTCTGACCCAGGGGGCATCTAGATGCTTCCACCAAGCTTAAGACAGCAAGATTGAATTTAATTTTATACTTATCTAGCTCTATATGCAACTTAAACTGTTAAGTCTCATATTTCTAAATTGCTATATATCTTTAAATGATGGTAAACATTTAAAGTCATAAAGGTCTAATTTAACTATACTTAAAATATAAGCTAGGTCCATACAACTTAAATTTAACTCATGTATCTTTAAATAATGATGAAAGTTTAAAATCACAAAGGTCTATTTCAAACTAACAAAATATTTATACCACTCAGTCCATCCTGTAAGCCGTTTACAAAGGTACAGCTTTTATTACAAA